TACTTTGCACTTCGAAGGTGCAAAGCACATACCATACCTACGGACATTGATTGCCAACTGATTAAGTGCGGATTGCATGCCTTGGGCATTATCGCACAGTAAGACAATATCGTCCGCATACTCAAGGTCGAGAAGTCTTTCTCCAGGCAACAGATCCACACCACCATTTCTTACATCCATCAGAGCTGTTTCCAGAATGTCATCGATGGCAAAGTTGAAGAGGAATGGTGAGATTGGGAAACCCTGCCTAACCCCACTGCTCGAATGGAACAATGGAGAGAGGTGGTTGTATGCCCTCACTCTGCCTGTGGTGTTTCTGTATAGGGCTCTTAGGATGTTATTAAACTTCTCAGGCACACCCTTCTTCAATAGACAATCCCAGAGAACAGTCCTATCCAACGCATCGAAGGCAGCCCTGATGTCAGGAAACACTACGATTGTTGGCCTGTGATGCGTATGACGGTGTTCTAACATTTGGCGGAGGGTGAAGATATGATCAATACATCCTCGACCAGAACGAAACCCAGCCTGCTCCTCGCGAGTCAATCTTTCTCGGGTTTTGAACAACCTACGAAGTATGACGGAAGCCAATAGCTTGGACACAATCGGAAGTAGACTTATCCCCCGATAGTTGTTACAGGAACGACGTGAACCCGTTTTAAAGATAGGGACAACTATCGACTCATTCCATGACGTTGGCACACTCTCTAGTTCCCAAACCTTTGTAAACAACACAGTCATCATCTTAACCAGAAAGTCACCACCATCTTTAAAAAGAGCCGGAGGTAAATCATCTGGGCCAGGTGATTTGGAGCGCTTCAAGAGTTGGAGTTCCTTGAGGACTTCCGCCTCATTTGGTGAATCAGTCGTCACCGACCATGGAGGGCAGGACAGTCTGACCGGTGTTGCCGGAGCAGCAGGCCAGTTGAACTGCCCTTCGAAAAATTCTGCCCATCGTCCAAGACGTCGATGGATGTTAGTGACTGGCATCCCATCATCCTCGCAGATTGTTTCACTCACACCAGACTTCTTGCTGCCAGTGGCTCGGATGAGTTGGAAGAGCTTCCGGTAGTTACCAGATGCAGCTGCTGCTTCCAGCTCATTAGCACGCATCGACCACCAGGCTTCTCGGTCCTTACGCAAGCTTTGCCCAATTTCCTTACGTAACGTCCTTCGTTTATGGTCAAACTCATGGTCACCCGGAGTAGACCAACAGGCTTCAATGAGTTGTAAGGAACCAGAAGAAACCCAGTGCTTATAAGCAGGACGTTTCGCGAACACACAACTGACTGTACCCGCCATTTTCATGGCGTCATGCAATCGCAAACAATGCTCATCTATACTTTTCGGTGGAGTGGTAGCTAGCCTGGAAACTAGCTCGGTTCGATACTTACTTGCAACAGAAGTTGCAACCAGCTTGCTAACATCAATCCGTTGATGGCGGTCACTTCGCTGTCCACTGAAAAGTAAGGTAAGATTGGCGCAGACCAAAGCATGGTCAGAGTCCACATAGGTACTCCAAAAGGAGCGGCAGTCTTGTACACAACCACGCCAGCGGTAGCTGATCGCGATGTGATCAATCCGAGTCCAGGCTTGAGATGCAGAGGGAGGACGCCAGGTGGCACATCGGCGATGACTGTGCCAAAAGTTAGTGCTAGCCAGAAACAGGTTGTGGTCTGTGCACAGTTGCAGTAGACGGTCCCCGTTATCTGTCCTGCGACCAACAAGCCCCTATCAGCCACCTAAACGACTCTCTTCTGTGCCTAGACGCACGACCTGAGCATTCAAGTTTCCGGCTAGTACTACAATATCTGTCGAACGCACTTTCTGGAGAAGAACAGATAACTGGTGGTAAAACTCATCCTTGATTGCATCCGGGCTGCGATCTGTCGGAGCATAGGCGGAGATGACGAAAAGACATCGTTTCTCATGCCGATTTCTTCTCACTTTGATGGAACTTTCTAATCTAACAGCACATAACCAACCGACTGTTAATGGGGATCCAATCGACTAGTGCTGCCTCAGCTCTAGCGCTTAGTGCGACACCAACGCCAGCAAGATCAGACGAAGATTGAGCAGAGTCCCCCGATGAACGCACGTAAAACAAGCTTTTTAAAGCGACAGATGGAGAGCGAATTTGTAGTACTTCACCAGAGTCTTGAATACGGGTCTCGGATAGACAGCAGACATCGATATTAAGACTTTCCAAAGACATAGCCAGCTCTATCTGTTGTCCAACCTGCATAAGTGTGCGAACGTTGAAGGCAGCCAGTTTGAATGGCGCACGTGATTTCAGAAAAACTGCTTCAGTACTCATATTCAGTGGTAACATACAATTTTCAACCGGACAGTGACACGAGAACGTTTAGATGCAGTCGAATTTCCACCAAAGACGAGCCGCTGTATAAGTATAAAAGAAGGTGAATAATGTGGAAAATAATAATAATAATGACAATAATAGTAATAATAATATTAGTATTAATAATGACAATAATTGTAATGATGATAATCTGAATCAATTGATTGTTTTTCGAAGCGAGAAAAGTAATTTCCATAGACATAGAGAGTTCATCATTTGTGTGTGGGCTGTGATACTGCGCGGGTGCCCAGACCGAAGCATTTGGTTATCTTAGGGGGCCACTCCCTGAGCCTTTGACCTAAAGGTCTAACCCACATATTGTTGGTTGCCCGACAGTTTGAATAGGTAAATACATTATAAACTCTAGTCATTTTCCTAAATACATCGTTGGAAATGTTTCTGGCAATGATCATAGGCACTTGCCTTAAGCACACTCATAGGTCTCTTGATTATGTGCCCTGAATGAACTTGAAAGAGTCCGTGTCGTAGAAACGATGGCTTAGAAAATGAATAATAAGAGAGGTTTTTCTTGTGTGTTGCCCTACAAATGGCAGCTGTTAAAACGTAGTGTTGTGGTGTGTGCTATTGGTGTCAACAGATATAAGTAGTATGTATCATCAATCGAAAGTGAAATGTCTGGCCTCAGAATATTAGGAAGATTGAAGAAATGAGAACGAAAATGATTGATTTGGGAACAAAAGAATAATCAAGTCTGAGACAGTTGATTGACATTTTATAAATGAACTACTTATTGTATCGTTCTCAGATTTTACCAAGTGATTCTGTGATTTTGTATTCGAATACGTTTGGTTGTCCCCGCCTGTGTTATCGTCCACTACAGTACCACAACTAGTCGCAGGAGCCAAAGCCCCATCTACCAATATTCAAACAGACTGTTCTCTCATACCGCTATAATTATAATGATGTGGAAACCAAATATTTGTTAGGAATAGTATTTTAATTATACACTGATTGAAATGCAATACAGTGCTAAGCATGTGACAGTACAATTTTTAATGATAATTCAGATTGATGTCATGAGGAACCCTGGGCTAACATACCATTAAAAATCGACTTCTTACCTGTTTTAAGTATTCGCTCGCACTAAACTTCAATCTTTCCAATTGCATATGTTTAGTGTGCGCAATCTACAAAGCAGTCGAGCTGCCTTCTTACGCGTTGAAATTCGTTACACTCTCTTAGGAAATCAACTTAAACAAGGAAAGTTTGTTCAGCATCAGCTGTCTAAACTCTTTGCTCACATCAAGGGAAACATTGAGGCATCTGAAAGCTTGACAGCTAGCGCTAGACAATCTCCTATCAACATAAATAAACAGTCCTTGGATTTGTATGTTATTATACTTACTGATATATCGTTTTTTGGAAATTGACACGATTTCCAATTACCCGGAAACAAGAGCAGTGTTTGTACTGAAGAAGAATGATAACACACAGTTATTTTAAACGCATTTGTTTTAGGTTTTCAGACTTAATTGTTTGAACACTACGAATTCGTAGAAGTTAACATAAGCTTAACCAGCAGTGAGCACTTCAAATATGGAACGCCCACCTTGAACAAAGCCACTCAAGGTTGAATAGGCAGATTTAACCAGGTATTATCTTTTCACCCATACCAATATTCGGTACATGAAATTTTCTCCGTCTAAAATAATGATCCATTGATGACTACAAGGATGCGATTCTGACATTTGTGTAAATTACTAGTTAGCATACCGAATTCGACTACCTCTGATCATCACGATTTTTAGGAACTAAACTACAATGACAAACATTAAATGTTACGTTTCACCTTTGATGCATTTTAACCAGACAGTTATTTTACATATTTCCATCTTTAACCATATTCCGGCAAATCAGAGGAGCCATCGAACTCCTCGGGTACAGAAATACCTGAGGTGTGTCATTTTTTGTATCCCAGTTCAAAGTTATGAAAATGGAACCGTGTCAGGATCTACCCACTCAAAAATACACGCCTGCCTCAGTACTTTTGTAAAAGAATCGAACTTTTGCTGTTTTTGATCAATACTAATCTCACATTTTTGTGGAGTAATGTAAAAGATTTCTCGGATTTGTATGATGACTAAACACTGGTGTTATACAAACTGTTTCAGAAAACATATTTCAGTCTTAGTTAGTAGATCACACTCGTAAAGTTCATGATTGTGAAGGAATTACGAATTGTGTAACGTGCTGGTTGTGCGTTGATCAAGTGTTTTGATAAGTGGATTGCTTTAGGAATCAGTCATAACGTTTGTGGACTGAGGTGACGATCAATCGTATAGGAGTGCGTAATGACCATGCTACATAGTGAACCTGTAATGGTATTGGCCCTAACCATACAATCCTCATACCTTAACATGAGATAACTGGTTAAGTAAGCTCTCAACATATAACGCTAAGAAAAGGTCAATAATAGTGAACGCGGGAACACTCATTCGAGATTAAACCGGATGGTATGGTTGAGTCTTGCAGGCGTGATCATTCTTTTGTAACGTATCTTTTCTATTCATGCTAAATATATTGTTTTATCTCCAACCTAAATATGTTCTTTATAAACACCAAACATCATATTGCTGATTGTTGCGATAAGAGGAGTCAGTGTAGGTAATTATGTGACTTCCACGTAAGATCTTATAGATTAGGTAATCACACCATGATACATCTACAATGTTGGGATTAGGTCTATTTTTGTAGTAGTACTAAAAACGAACTGAACCATAATTCAGTAGACCATAACTTCATAGATTTAAATGGGCCGTTGAGTATTTGACAAATAGTTGAACTTCGATAAGGTTCATCGTGGAAACAGGTTCGTGTCTCGGTCGTGCCGGCTTAGTCATGAGGTAGTGATCACAGTACGTCGAACATTTTCCATTCGTCATCATGGTAAGCTGAGAGGTAATGCCATTCCTGTTCAACGCAAATATCACCGCAATCAGCGATATAAATCACTTGCTTTGGTAATCAACACTGGTGAGTCCGACGTGAACTGTATCTTTGTTTGAGACACTGCTTGCGTTGGACAGGAATGTCATTACCTCTCAGCTTATATTGATGTCAGACCTCGGGATTATTGCTTAACTTCAAATACCTTTTTTTTGTATTGAGGTGTTGTGGATACTTGGATGAACGTATAACGCAAAAATAATAATAAACAGAGTGGGAACACCGCGAATTTGGCTGTTCATGATGTGGAAACTTAGCGGTTGACGCTGTCTTCCTTTGAACTTGACGGTGTTCACGAAACTGTTAGACATGCAATGATCAGTGACATTTCGACGGCCTCACGACTACTCTTTAACTCATCGTAGTTGTACATATCATCCTATTCCATCAGTAAGCAAGGACACTTAGTATAATAAAGGAGGGAGTCAGCAAAGACAATAGTGAAGCTATGACGTAAGCTCTTGTAGATTAGGTAGTTACACGATGGAAAGTTCAAAAACGTAAGTAAAGTTTATTACTCTAACAACATCATCTTCCTTCTAAATCTCACAAGTGTATTGATGAAAGAATAAACTACTGTAAGAAGAGATTAGTGGGTTTTCATAGTTCAGAGCTTTAATGTATAATGTAGGTTAGCACGCCAATAGTAACATCTATGTCGAAAATGTATGCGGATAGAAAAACTAATAAATAATCACATGAATATACACGAAACACTATATATTTTTCGCGCTTTTAATCAGAAAAAAGGTGCGGAAATGTATACCATGGTTTATAATGAGATTCTTCTACGCTGTGCCTTTTTAAAACGTAAAGTCAATAACTTCGGATGTAATTCCTGGTAACATTCTAATCCACCCGAACATGATGGCCAGGAAGTCCAGTTTCTTCAATGTCCTGAAAAAACATCTGAAGTCTCATCAGATATGCATGCGAAGAATAACAAATGCCAGCAAACAAAGTAAGAACATAATATTGAATGTTTCGACTCCACCGTAGAACTACATCGACTCATCAATACTGGGACTGACAAGTGTAGACATATTATCTTACGCCTAGCTTTCGACCTCCCAAAATAGCGATACCACCAGTTTAGCGGGTCATTTCGGTAAGGTTTATTGTTGACACCTGCTCTAAAACTTCACTAAATAATTACTTCTCACATTGACCTGGTGGCTGTAATATCGTACTGAAATCCCACAAGAATGGAAGTGTATTTATAAAGATAGGCCGCAGAAATGCTATAATTATGAGTCATAGACAGGCAGTCGTGTATTGATAAATTGTCTAATTTCGACCTCAACCGATGGTGAAACATAACTCAACATCAAGTGAGCAGTTCCCCAATGTTGTGGTCATTCAACATAACAGGTCGATTCGACTGAGGCTCGGTGTCTTTTCACCCGATGAACTAAGCATTATCAAAAAGTACAGAACATCGTGACTGAAACATTTTCGTTGTTTACTTTTATCTTCAATGATTTCAGTTTCGAAGCTCTTCAAAGGGGATCCCTAAATATCCCGTTAATATTTGGTTGGAATTAGTTAGCTTACTTCCCATGCCAGTTTATAAATACCGAAAACATTTGTGAAACAAGAATGACCGTAAGTACCGCCTCAAATTTCTAGGTAGATAGTTAAATCACAGGTACTCCATTCTTCGTCGTCTGGTATAACATCGAACTTACTGTTCAGAAGGTATGACTTACTCCATGTTGATATAGATAAACTCAGTGATACCAGAAGAACCAAAATACTTTTGCGAGAACTTTGTACCACATAACACAAGAGCTACAGCGGATACTGGATCCCAAGAAATACAGAGGATAAGTCATGAATACGCATTTGGAACTTGTTAAAAACCCTTGGGGAGTAATCATATTTGTTTAATTCTCATCATCAACGCGTACATCTACGCAAGTAGACAGGGGGACATCTGGATGCAGTATGCAGGGATTGGTCAGTGGACGAACAATTTATAAGCAAAGCAACTTCCGTTTACAAAAGCCGTACTGATGGAAAAGACAAGTATTCTATGATAACTCAAGTGTCAAGCTCTCTATAATAAGTGGGAACCCTGCGGCACTTTCATTGTTGACTAATGATCGACCGTTCTTGTTTCATGCATAGTAACCAAAATGTTGTTAAATCTCCTCGGAAACACTAAATATGGAAGGTACCATAAATCACCGATTATACCCCCGAAGTATTCAGAAACCACGAAAACCGTAGGACTAATCATTGTTCTTCAGGACCCTTCAAAAGATCTGAAATCAACAGAACGAACAGTTCCCAGGAGCTGGTAGTCATATAAATCTACAAATGTATTGATTTTCTTACACGGACAAACCATGGAACGGAGTAAGGTTTCTTTTTCCGGTGTTTGAAATGAGATTCCTGGTTATTATATGAAACCAGCACGTAAACGTATCAGTAAAAGGTTACACATTTTCCACAAATGAACCCCCTATAAAAGTACTAGCAATAACACACTGAGTTATCAGCTCTCACTAGAATGCAGATTGAAACCTTGCATTTTAGCTTCTCCATAAGCATTGCATCTTGTAAATCGTTTGGTGGCCATGCATTCTGACCAATCCGTGCATTCACAAATGACAGGTACTCGTCAGTGAGCCAAGTGAGGGTTAAATATACTTAGTACAATTGTGCAGGCACACGAAACTAAGATGTAGATAAGGAAAAAAGTATTCTAGGATGACGGAACTTCCGTTAGCTAATATTAATGAGAATGATGAGAATACTTTGGTAAGTCAAAGTAAATACGTAAGGTTTTCAAAATTATCTTTGTTAAATCAAAGTGACTTTGTATAAATAATCAGGTTGTTCTTTACTCTAACTAGTATAATTTGCTCAGTGTATCGCTACTATAATCGTCCGTAAAACAGGTGTTGGAAAAAAATCCTGTCTCCACTGTTTATTCACCATCTGAAATTAAAAACAATAATATTAAGACATTTGTCATCATAAGCGGATATCAACCATAGAATTATGAAAAACAAAATAACACTCAACAAACGTAACACTTTGTAGAGGTTATTCGGTAGTGCACAAACTTACACGAATCCAATACTTAAACAGTATTCACGGATCAAATTCCATAGTTTTTAACGAGGTGACAATTATTTCAGGAGCAGAACAGTTACTAACCGGGGAATGACTATCACACCAAATGACTATTTAATAAAAACGGAAAGTGAGATATACTGGATTTTTATTTAATTAGTTTGAAGGTATCGCACCGGTCACCATGTGCAGAAGTCTTGGGTCCGATTTCATCTCGGATTGTGGTTGCAAACAATATCAATCCGTGTCCAAAGCTATATAAAGCATTAATTGGGAAGGGAATATGGTACTTCAAAGAGCAGAGCATTGATATGCATTCCTTACCAAAAAAGAATTATCAATAAAAAGGATCCTATTAATTAAATGACCACAATTGAACAAGATACTGCGGATCTCATTACATTAAAATAGACAGAAATTACTGTTGCCATCAATACAAATAAATTTCAGTGTTCAGATAAAAAACGTGTTTACATAAAACATCCGAAAAAATGTTTTTAATAGTTTTAACTTGACAGTGATTTACAATACTTAAAGATTATACATTTGTGAATAATTTTTAAAAACCAATGACAAGAAATATTAACAACTTACCAGATTCAAATACTAACTTCTTGGGAAAGGATGAAGACATATTCCTACATTTTTCCATATTCCATTTTATTTCATTCTGACCGAGTTCATCTGTAGTTATATTAAATTTAAAAAATCTTACTACAAATTCGTAGTTGTTAAAAATGAGTATTTACATACACACCGGGGGTCCACAAAGGACTTATTTACACTCCAAATAAGCGATATGATTATTTTAAGTTACTGGTCCACGAGATTTTGATTTCGAATCAGGCCGATACATAGTCGAAATAACCTTATTGGACAATTGGTATTGTTGCTGAGTTAATGAGCCTGAATTATTCTGCCTGTGCAATTTTAATTTATAAATGGACAAAAGTTCTGTTTTTGCTAGATTGCTACATACTATGGAGATGCTAGATCTCCAGAAATCAATTGGTGAACTTATTATTTTTGTAATTTCATTATGGGAACTTGAATTTCTCGTTCTCGCGCCAAAAACGTACACTTTTACGTTCGGTTTGTGTTTACTACCTGGAAGGACCTTAAACGTCATTCGTTGGATTCCCCGTTTAGTATGCTATCTTGTGACGTTTTCAAGGACATTTTTGTATTGTATATATACGTGTGAGTCGTGCGCTTGACGTTTATTCTTCCGGGCTGCTTGTGGAGTTATATATTTTCTCGGATGAATCTGGTCCTCTTCTAGCCAACATAGATAGGTCGCAGTGGAATAACTTAGCTTGTTCTATTGTCGCGTTGCTGAATTTCGTCCCGTTTGCCGGTCCTAGCTGATATCTTAATCCTTCGAACCTACCACATCCTCTGCTTGATTACGGTTAGTACGGTATCAGGGCATATGGAAGGAAATACTGAATCAGCACTATGTTTTGTAGACGTTTACCTATTAATATCAAGTATTTTTAGGATATTTAACCTTGAGTCAATTATTATCATAAAACGCGTTAAACATGCACTACGAATATCTAAATCAATGTTATCGACCATTTGCACATATTATTAGTAATAAGCCTGTTTGCTATTTGGCTGCCAATTTTCCGCCTCCCTTAATCCTCGAATTTTTGTTTGGGATCTATGATTTGCGTTATGACTGGTAGTTATTACTCCTTGCAGATGGCCTGTGTAGTAATATAATTCAATTTAATGTGGATTAAGTATGAAGAGCTCTTAATAAGGCTAGTGATTGTTTTTGACTACATATTCGGCAAATTTTCCTAACAGTAGGCATCAAAATTGAAAGTTCTAGTGGTTTTATTCTAACTACCTTTCTATTTATAGATCACAGCAACACTCACTGGAGGTCAGCAAACGTGTTTCTTGGTTCGATGGACGTACAAAACACTATAAACAGTATATGACTTCCCGCATAACAAATTATTACTAGAGGATTAAAAGGAAAACCACAAATTAATCACTGATCTTCCAGTTTTGTACATCAAGTAAAATGCCCAGGTACAGCCGAGTGGGAAGAGTTCGTTCTCCCTCTCCGAATGCTCTCATATGACCACGCGTATATAGCCTCTGCCACAGAAGTACTACTCACTGCCTTCTCGCACCACGGGTGTTGTTTACGAAATTGAGAGGACGAAAAGCGAATGTCTGGTGCTTTAACCGGGTTGGTGGATATAGAGGATCCACCTAGGGGAGTTGGAAAACCCTGATTACAAACCAATGGTGCAAATGGGCTCCAGTATCCTGTGGGAGCAAATGGCGTATGGACCAACTATTGGTCATCACCAACTACCACGGGACTGCATCTCCTTACGATGCTCCACTGCCTTGTAGATCAGAGCTATATGTCAAAGGCTTCGGGTGTGGTCCCCTAAGAAAACCACCTGCTTCGGTTTGGGCACCCGGGCAGTATCACAGCCATCACACAAATCAAATGAGATTTTTGTGGCGCATATGTATCTGGTGTCCCCTTGTACCAATATCTATGTATTCAAATAAATAAATAAATAATAATTGAGTTCGAATAAATTCGAGTGAAATTATTAAGGTTTATTGAAGATGCAGCAAAAAATATATGAAAGTTTCCATAGCTTTTTCTTCTATTCTATATTTAAGAATTTATTGGGAAATTTATCGAACAAGCAACTATCTCATATTCATCTACCCTACAATTATCGAGGAGCGAATCTACTTCCACAGGGTCCAAACTATTGGCTGTACAAAACTTGTGAAAAATTGGTACGAGGAGCATGCAGGTAGACATACTGATCACGTCCTCGCCTACTACCAAATATTAAATCACATCTACACCTGTAGTAGACCGAAAATCTGAATGCTTCTTGATATATATATATATATATATATATATATATATATATATATATATATATATATATATATATATATATATATATCATATTGCAGCTTTCTTTGTTATTCTTCATAATAATGGATGGAACTTCTAACTGAGAGAAATCTTTCTCTGTTGCACTGTTAACTGAACCTTATTTCCAATTATACACCGTGGCCTTCTCATTTATTTCCTTTTCTTGAGATATACTTCTTTTCTCACTTCTTTCTTCGGAATGCTATTTCTATATTCTGTGTAGCACATCGTACTTTTGGTGTCCAGTTGTACCAGGTTTGAAGTGAATTAAATGAAAAAAACAATGTTGAAATCCTGGAAAGCTGTGGAATATTCTGATTTGTTTCTCACATTTCAATTAAAATCAAAATTAATCCATTATAGTGAAGTTCTGACAGTTTATGCTCTTGGTATCATCAGAGTCAAACTTATTTATAAAGACGGTAAATGAAGGAATTAAAACCCATTACTTACTTGACTTGGGTAAGTTATAATTTAGAACTGTATCGTTCACTTTCTCCTCTATATTCTTTGTTTGTGATTTATGCCTTCGATTAGTAGGAACTAAGGGTAGAAATTTGAAAAATTTAATTAAGCTGTGATAACAATATATTTTAAATTAATGCACATGCTAGGCAGTGAAATGTTGCTAAATAAGGTCGAAGGTGAAAATAAATAAAATGACTAACTGGTCAGTAAATATTCAATATGTGTAACAACATCCAACAGCAAAGTAGCAGCTTAATAAATAGAAAACTCGATCGCATTTCAGAGTTAATGTTCACTCTGGGACTCGAACCCAGTACCATTCGCTTCAAACGCCATCGCGCTATCCACTTAGCTACTGAGTCCTGATAGCCACTTGCTTGTGCAATAGGGTGAAGTTTAAACTCACTTGGTATTGTTTACTTGAATCTTCCCATTGATGTTAAGGACTGCAGTTGATCAGTCTCTTATTGGCATATGTGCATACTGTGTGTATTGCCTCGGAACTGCCTTAATTCACAAGCCTTATAAGCAAAGATGGATAGTGACTAGCAATGGAATCCAGGACGCGCGTCTTCGTCCTATTTGGGACTCCTCAACTGGATGTTGATGTTCACTCTGAGACCAAGTGAATATATATTTGACATTGTTATGGTCATGTTATTTCCACATTATAATTCAGCTGTGCCAAAAAACACAAATTTGTTTCAGTTTGAGCTATTAAACAACTATCAAGCAGAAAAACAGACAATTGTTGCGCGATCATATATAACGGTCATCCTGGATATCATCATCATTCGACTTAGTTGAGTTGTTAATTTAGTTTGCTAAAAAGACTAAATCAAGTCAACACAACACTCTTTCGAGATCATATATGCAATCGGATTGATTCAGGTTTTCACATTTTGAGACAACATAAAGACACAAAGTTGCTAAATGAACATAACACAACGCTAAAATCAATGATACTAAGAAAAATAAAGATAGAAAAATTATTTAGAATAGAAAATCCATATACGAAGTACAATTCTATTTAAAAAACGTAAACGTCGGGACATTAACAGCTCTTCGACAATCAATTACATTCCCTAAAGAACATCACTTAACCAGCAAGAATAGAATATTCAGATTAAACTTTGCGGCACCCGCACGAGTGACTTCTTCATCAGACTCTATAAAAAGAATCAACTATGACCACACTTTTTTTGAACGGTGCCAGAAATGTAATTGCTAGTAATAATTTTCAGCATTAGGGTTTTGCCTGCTGTTGTCAACTCTTCTATCATAAAGGCGTTAATGAGATATAATTTTTTGGACATGTTTTTCAAATAGATGAGAAAATCATACGTATCAATGTAATCCTCGGCAAGTAGCAAATCCAACAAGCCAATTGTTTCCTTAAAATCTAAGGGGTGTACCCATTCTAAATTGAGAAAAGGCTTTGTAATGCATTTAGGGAAAGTGTAATTACTTCGATCAAAAACTTTTTTGCTGTTTCTCTCCATCCTGAATGAATTCGTTCATCATATGTTAAGTGTGATTGTAACGTGTATACATGACGAGCGATATAAGTTCACACTAATTGGCGAATTAAATGTTAACAGTTTATCGCTAAAACATTTGTGTATTTGCCATTTCCCTCACTGTTATGGCAATTGGAGACGAGACTATATGGCGATAGTACAAAAGATGGATACTGACGGCTTGCTTTTGGATTATGAGGCCAATAGCATCAAAATTTGGAAACCGTCATATCCATATACAAAGATCACACTCACTAGAAGACATTTCACCAATAACCAACACAAACCAGAAGACTCAACATCACAATACTCCACTCCCTATCTACCACTGGCAGGCCATTCACTCGCCGAGGAATCAGCGCGTATAAACATGTTTGCGTAATTCCTCATCCCCATGAGTGAAGGGAGTTTAGTTATATGGGCGTAAATGGTAATGCCACGTGATATATTTTCTGGCATTGTACCAAAGCGATAACCGCTTTCGTGTAGCTGTAAATGTATTTTATTTAGTAGAATTTTGTAATAAAAAGCAAGTTAAATTACATTCGTACCCCATAATCGACAGGAAATTGGATAACCCATGATAACTTCATTCTTGAACATCTTAAAAGCCGCTTTACGCTGAGCACTCTTTTTGAAGAAGATGAACACATTTCTATGTAAAGAAAAATGTATATGTTGAGTGAAGACTAGCAGATATGTAGTAAAACCAAGTTTTCACTAAAATTTCCTAATTACTTTTCTCACACTGTATCTAAAAATAAGTTTACGGGGATTAAGAATAACGATACTAAATAATTGTAAATTATGACCAACACTTCAACCTCATATTTACGAATACGACATTTATTCAAGCACTGAGGAGGAACCTACATAATCTAACTACAGATCTTCAACAACGGAAATAGATAGTTGCATATCATCAAGTGAGCTAAAGTATTTATTTACAGAATGTTCAACATGTTAACTTCTAAAAAGATGTTTTCCGTAAGAAACAATTCCACAGTACAGTTTCGCGTAACCAATCAAAGGCACTACTAATAAAAAGTAACACGACAACTAAATTGCAATATGTGTAACGATGTGTCAAAGTACACGAAAAAAGATGACAATAAAATGATCAATGAACCAGGAACCTGAAAACAACTTGTCTCTTTTCGCCGAACAATTCTTAGTATTTTTGTGCCTAATATAACAATTACTGCCATAGACCCAACTGGTAACGAAGTTCCCTGGTGGCCATGAACGTAAAACGACAAACCAATAACACTGTTTACAGTATATACAAACAAAATCTATCGATAAATAACTGATAAATAAGTCTAGTGATCCTCTTACAAGCAAAATCGAAAACATGAGAATTGCAACTTATGAGTACTTTTGAATGAATACTGTGAATTTGATACAATGAAATTCGACGTAAAATTACTAATGCCTAGGCTTTGCTTTTTAGCTCACTCCTTACAAGAAGCATAAAGCATCCTAGTAGAACTACTGACACATTTATTCCAAAGCCAAAAAAATAATAAAAAAACAACACACAACATATTCGCATACTGATGTCATGGCTTAAAGGATTACATCTGTAAATATCTTTTACTGGGTTACAACCAATTTAGATCTTTCCTTTTTATCTCGGAGGTTCCATGGTATGGTTTCCAGTCAATGCGGATAATGAATTAACCCCATAACTATATGATAGAGACAAATAAACTGTAAAAAAACTCACCTTTATCCTACTCTGGACTCTTAAATCAACATTAAAATCTCCCACACAAACCGAAATATAGAACTACACTACTCATAATTAGTAGAATTTACAAGTGATAGACGCATATGAATGAAGCACTTATTGCAAATCTTACGCCTGTTAGCCATCGTGGTGGAACATAGGCCGCTGCCTACCAGCATTCACCATCAGATTCTGTTCTGGGCAATAATTCTCAGTTGCCATTCATTCTTGTCATGTCTGCTTCCGATTCCCGACACGGTGTGCTCTTTGGTCTTCCTCTTCTCCGCCTCCCTTCAGGATTTCAAGTTGGCGCTTGCTTTATGATGCATTTTGATGACTTCCGCAATGTACATTCTTTCCACTTCCAGCGTCTTTCGCTAATTTCCTCTTGAGTTGGAAGTTGGTTTGTTCTCTTGCACAGGAGGCTGTTGCCGATGGTATCCGGTTAACGGACATTCAGCATCTTACGTAAACAATTGTTTAGAAATACTTGTACCTTTTGATCATGGTTTTGGTAGTTCTCCAAGTTTCAGCTCCGTCCGGTAGAGCTGACTTGATGTTCGTATTGAAGATTCTGACTTTTGTATTGGTTGACAGTTGTTTTGAGTTCCATATGTTATTCAATTGTAAGAATGTACCCCTTGCTTTGTCAATCCTTGCCTCCATATCCGCATCAGATGCTCCTTGTTTATTGATGATGCCACCCAGGTACGTGAAAGTTTCCACATCTTCCAGAGCTTCATTAAGTGTGATTGGGTTGGTGTTTTTCATGTTGTGTTTGGGGATTTTGTCTTTTCCCTTGTGTATGTTGAGGCCTACTGATGCAATGGCTGCTGCTACACTAGTTTCCTTCATCTGCATTTGTCGTGTGTATGGGATAGGATGGCCAAGTCCAAATCGTCTAATTGATTCTAAGCTGTTCTTTGTATTTCGTGCTTCTCCTCAGATGTGGAGGCCTTCATAATCCAGCCAATCACTAGAAGATAAAGAAAAGGGGAGAGTAAGCAGCCTTATCTGACTCCGGTTCTTACTTGGAATGCATCTCTCAGCTGTCCTCCATGCACTACTCTGCACTGTAGTCCGTTGTATGAATTTCGTATGATGTTGATGATCTTCTAAGGTACACCGTCGTGTCGAAGAAGTTTCCATAAGGTTCTCCTACCTAGGCTGTCAAATGTTTTCTCATAGTTAATGAAGTTGATGTATAGTGACTAGTTCCATTCAACTGATTCTTCAACGATGATCCTGAGTGTCGCGATTTTTAAAAAAAGTATTTTTTTATTTTCAGACGAATTCTCAAGTTATTTAGACAAAGGCCACCTACCTAGTATTGGAATCTTTAAGTGGTGCCGAGCTTAAACCAGTCAAAGATGTTTCGGGAAATAATGCTTTAATTCGATCATCTTCAATCACATTGGGTACTTCTTTAAGTTTCAAACCATAACTCATACTTGCATCGGGAGATTTGGACGATTCCGATTTGGATTTACATTGTAGATTTGCTCTAACCAGTCGATTATTAATATACTTATGTTTACATTCATTTATAAGAATTTGAAGATCTTCCTTATTCTTCATTTCTAATATACATGAACTAAAAAAAAGTTAATTAAACAACGAATATGATAGATCGAAGTTTGAAGTAGGATAATCAGTTATAATATTTGAACTCAAGATGACTTTTATTATGAACTAACACGAAAAACTGGAGAACTGTTGAAACCAGAGCATTGTAAAATTGGTTCCTTTTAATTCGAGACTTGAGCAGTAGGCAACAAATAACTCAGACAGCGAGTGAAACTAATACCATTAGATTAAATTCTATGAATTCCCCACAAAAACGTGCTGAAAAGTGATAAGCATATACTTACACTAGTGATCAGTTCTCACGAGTTTCCTACAGCTCTAGTGAGAAGTCATAAACTCTAATGTCAAATACATCAGAAGTGGGGCAGTTCACAACCAAAACCCCTATATTACGACAAACTAACTAAAGCTGAGAATCTAAACAGTTGAATGGCAACCCAATAGTCTAAGGGCATTATGTTTGTCGTGGCAGCTGGAGGCCTTCGGTTCGATTTGATTGGCTTGTACATGTTGTAGTATGCTATTTTTTCATTATTATTGAAGACATTGTATATATACTCGCGTCCACTAGAGTTCGCTTGATTCTTCTTCGATGAGTTTAATAAACCATTTAGTGAGTGTTTAATCTATTTCTCTCTACTTAACATAGAGCCACAATAAAGGTGAAAAAGTTGTCTACGTTTATCGTTCACAGTAATCGATTCTAGGAATAAACGCCATTTATTACTACAAGAACCCACCAAAGAGACAAGTAATACTTAGTTATCTTGTCCTAATTGCATCTTTACCGGCAAATACGACGGTCATATTTTATGAATAATATAACTCAATTAATTGATTACTTGAAATCCAGAACTCGATTCAATAACTATACAGATATATTTGACCACCTAAATCAAATACTCATCGATCATGAGACATCTTGGGATCAATCTAATAATATTGATAGTTGTAATCCTATGTATGATTCAATGAAGTAATATCTAATAAATACTATACTTCATTTAAAGTGGTAAAGAAAAATAGTACCTACCCATTGAATATTCCAAACTTATTTACACCTAAATGAACACGATTGGCCATGGGGAAATGTTCTTTAATCTCAGTTGCAGTTAGTGAGTATGGCAAGTTTCGTATGATTAAACAATTAGGACTATTAGTTACAAATTGTCTTGACAGATTAGACTGGATTACATTTTCTGTGAATCCAACGATGGCTCGATAATTTGGCTAGATAACAAATAATATTTTTTAAAAGGGCACATGAATAAATTGAAGCGTGTGCAGCGACTATTTAGACATATATTTGATGCAAGACTGAGGTAGTATTTAGTTTAATAGTTGATTGTGAATACGATCAGAGTGGTAAGTTTAGTGATTAAACCAAACGTTAAACCACTAGGTCCCAAACTCAAATTGCACTTCATTTACTTTCGTTTGGGCAGTTGGTTAGTATCACTAATTCTCAGATAAATGTGGTTCAAAGCTAAGTAAACTAATTTGCACTTGGTTGGCAAGTTGCATTAATATTATTATGACTATTATTATTTGTAAGGATAAGCTTTGCTTGAAAGTTAAGTATAACACAGAAATATTCTTCAAACTTTCTGGTGATTGTTTAAATATAATACACTTTCCTTCCAAAGAATAAAAACAAACCACAAAGTAAAAGGAGATTTATGAACATTTATTTTGTTAAAAATTTGTAGGTACTAAGGTAGGGTAAGATCACAACATTACCTAATCTGAAAAATGAAATTTTTACTCACGTACGACTGTCTCTCGATTGTTTTACAATATAAACTCATGCATTGGAATTCATGAATCTAAACATCGCCGACACTTCAGGATCTGTAAAAACGTTACAGACAGTCAAACCACGATATTACTAACTGTTAGACCGAGTTATGTCATTAGTGGTGAACATTTACGTCGGTATCCTCATAGTGAGAATCATCAATGACTGATGAACTTTGGTGAAATGGTTTGAGATCGGTCGAGGCAGTGTAGATGTATTCGTTCTTTCTTTAGAAAGCTAAAATATTTCATCATTTTGCCGAAGCTTTGATTTTTTAAAACTATATTTTTTGTGCTTACTTTACTATTGTTATGATTTTGATTATCCATTTTGTAAACCAAAAATAATGTCTATGAAGGGAACTAATTATATGGAATCCTTTACTCGCCATTGGTATAATGATTTTTATCTCCTTTTCATTTTGTTTACTAAATTTCATTATGTTTAAGTATGCTGAATTGAACCGTCACATTTTTTCCCGATCCTAGGTTGTTGATGACTAATTAAATGAGGATCTATATATTGCTCAAATGCTTTGTAAACTGTGGATTTTGATTTCTTTGATCAATTTGAAGATGTTTAGTTTAAGTGCTCAGTGTTTAAGAAATGTGTTAGCAGGACATAGACCGGATTAAAGCATGCTCAATGCACGATTGCTTTGGTGCACGCTGATTGGCTAATTCTTATCCAATCGGCACTAGTCGATAGTTGGAGGATACTGTAGAATCTTCTCATGTAAAAACTATAAATGTACTAACGTTTTCCCTATTGTGCTTCTTACTTGCTTCTTGCTTCCATCTAACCTTGTTATTTGGAATATAATCTCTTTCATGTTCAACCATGTTCTGATTCGGGGACTTGTCGAGTGAATCGGTGTCCAAGAATATTAAGCAATAGGTATAGCTGGGTCATACCGTAAGAAAAAGATTATAACAAAGTGCTTTGATGATAGTAACAAACTTAACGCTAGATAAAAAGCATCATATTACTTGTGCGACGACTATAAATACTAACATATGGACAAAACTAAAAAAGGATGAAGAGTGAGATTTCGACATGAGACCCAACTGTTAAAATTCATGTTCGAAAATTTTATTCTGAACATCATATTCCATTCGACAACGAAGAGCGCAAAACTTAGAAAATAAGCGACATAACAAGTGACAAAAAGTTATTTGTAAGTACACCTCACAAAACAAATTGTGACCAGTAGACAGAAAATAATAAACGGAATACACCCATTATGACATTAAATAAGAAAGAAAGATTAGTTCAGCGAAGAGTTCTCTTTCCGGCGAATTCATTTTCAAAGCTGTACAATCGCAAATATATATACTTATTTTTACAGGGTGATAATAATACTGATAATAAACTTCTGTTATACATGGTGACAGTGAGATTAAATAAAGGTAAAAAAATTTTTAAACAAGGAAAGTTTAATAATCGTTTGATAGTTAATGGCTGAAGTATTCATTGGGTAATGATGGCTCAGCATGATAAAATAAAATGTTGAAACAGAGATGAAATGTGATCGGAATGATCGTGGAAATAAAAACAAACCGGTTGGGGGTAGAAGATTTGAAGGGAAGATAGAAGGTGAAGCAGGTGGCTGTAAGGGAACAAGAGTATGAAGAAAGAGAAAAATTTTTAAAATCTTTTATTTAATACATCAAGACCATGGTAGAAGAAGAGGTTGTACCAGTCTCTTTTGTACACATAATTCTGGTTTTTCAAAATGTATGGCTATTGCCTCGGCAATGCAGCGATTGTACAGCTTTGAAAATGAATTCGCCGAAAAGAAAAAAATAAACAATAAAATCGAGATTACTTAAAGTATGCTAAATGTATAATATACACTTACTTTGACACCATCAAATTCAATTGATTTTAAACGATTCACAGCATCTAAGTAATCGTCATTACTTGAAAAGTCTAAAAGCGCGTGCTTCGAACCAGCTGTATTACGCAAATTCAAATGAATAACTGATGGAAAAATATCCTTCAAAATGGTTTGGCTGACACTGGATGGTAGACTGGTAAGCAACAACTTTGGTGTCCCATGTGTTAGCTCTTAATCGTAAAAAATCGCATGCGTTTATAAAAAGTTTTATTTAAAAGAAAGCATAAAACGAAGTGATAAAATTTTCTTTGTTTGCTGATCAGCTAAAATAAGTTCAAGGACTAGGAATTATTTCTATTGAAACGCTTTTCTGTGTAGCTTATAAACAACTTAACGCAAAACTACGTAACACTAACATACAGAAATTTTACACAAAACACAGAAACAAATTAATGCAATAAAGCCTATTAGTATTGTGAACATTAAATATCCAAGTGAATAAAAGCGGACGACTTTCTGTTAAAAAGAACGGATACTACAGAGTATTTCGGAAAAAAAATTATTAGTTAACAGAAACATTAAAGTTAAAATATAGAGACGAAATGAGATTGTTACAGGGGTGAGATATAGCAAGGTAGCGAATCATGATGAATTATAACAAAAGCTTTCTAAATCCTACAATTACGAATTTCTATTGTTACCAGATAATTATACCAATATTTAGGAAAAGGAAGGAGACGTCTTGTAAGAAATCTTGAGGAATTTCAAGTCCTCAGTCAACTACAACGTAGGACCGGGCACATATATGCATCGGTCCAAGTTGTCATACCTCATTAGCACAAGATAAACACCGGATTCATAGAAGTAGTTAATTCAATGGTGGTAATATATAAAAGAAAGATTGCATATAAGGATATAATACAGGAAGAAAGAATTAGTTCGTAAAAAGATATAAAGCAATTTTAATCTCATAGATTGAGGGAAGACATAGAGTGTTCAACCGACACCATTGTGATCGATTCTGAGCCATGTCACCCCAGTTTCCAACCGTTCGTAGTAGTCTGCATCTACCAATATGGCTAAGACTAGAAGTTAGTGACTTCAAAGACATGCCACATTTTGGTTTGGCCGCCCCTAACTTTCTTCCAACCATCCCGAACAACGGTCAGCATTGCACGCCGTGGTAATCAGTGTTCAGGCGTATGTAACACGTGGCCCAACCATCTCAGTCGATGAAGATTCACAACCTCATCAACAGATTTACCATCATTTCCTAATACCCTGTATCTAACCTCACTATTACTTACCCGGTGATCCCAGAAATATTTCTAAGGCATCTGTGATCAAACACTAGTAGTTTACGAGTATCTTCCACTCTTAATGGCCACGTTTCGCAGCCGTAAAGTAGAATAGAACGAACTGCTGCTCAGTATACTCGTCCCTTAATTGGTAGACGGATATCTCGCCTTCGCCATAGGTTGTAGGCTGTAGCATCCACAGAAAAAAAACTTTACAATTCAGGAAGCTTTGTGGAGGCTCACTTAAGAGGTTTGACTCATTACAATTTTATGCAGTTTTAAAATTAATCCGTACTCTTGCTTATAGTCAACGTTTCTTCCTTTATTAACTTTCAATAAGTTTTTTTTTTAAAAACTCGTCTCCCCTTTAATGTATTAACGAAGGTTATACGGTACACTACCTTTAAGATTTTTTGTTAATACATATTAAAACATCCCTATTTGTCACTTGTTAAGCTTAGAATACTACGGCGGCTGTATTATTATGAAAGTAATAAGGTATTATTAACAGATCTCAGGTTCAGAATATAATTTCGAGTTTATTTTACTGCATATGTTAAGTTACATAAAACTATTTGATGCCAAATAGAATATTTATTGGCAAAGCACTTGTCGAATACACTTATAGGATAACTGTGAAGTGAAAATGTCACTCAATCTGCAACAAAAATATATCACGTCAAAATTTAATTATAAGCATTACTTTAAACAAAGATTTGATTTTTACCTTTGGTCTCAGAAATAGATTTTTGTAAGATCTGAACAAAAGCATTAGCTATACCAAAAATACTTACCCTCTTTTTTGATTTACGACCAAGCTTTTCATTCTTGGAATATTCCTTCTTAACGCTACACGTTTGATTTGACTTGTCTAAACCGATATTAATTCCTGACGCCTTTGTGGAAGGACATTCAGTTGACTTTGATTTCTTTGAATGTCTACGAGTCCTAGATTTACAATCTACCTCATCACGTGCCGTCCTTTTCATAGATATCTGAAATATTAAGAATAGATTTCACTTTACAACATGGAATTCTTGTGCATTGGGAGTATAAAATTTATTGGATTAGTAAAACAAGGTTTTGAGTACATTGTACGAAGTAAATATCATGAGAAAATAATGCAGAACAAAAACGATGTACTTCTAGACATTTGCAAACAAGTAGTAAACCAAATAAACTTACAGAATTTGGTTTCTTAAAAAATAATTTGTGTTTCTTTTGTGCATTTCACTTGTAGACAGAATGTGAGAAGAATAATGGGAACTTTGTTTTTTGCAGCCGTATACTCCCCCACAGAACACAGCCGTCCTACTGTTAAAACTCATGACAGACGAGAATTTACCCTCACAATGTAGGGTCTGGCGTGCGTATCATTCTAAGTTCATACATCCTAAGAGAATATTGGTTTAAGGTTGCTTATTGGTAATATCCAACCACCTAATATTAATTCCAGTGAAAATTGATTAAAGATCGAACTTCAGTCAGTAACAACGTAGAACTTCGTACGTACGTACATCAGTTCGAGTTGCCACACCAAATTAGCACAGAGATGCAGTGGTCGATTCAAATCCCGTAGTGATAGAGGTAATAAGAGTATAAGCAGTAATTGGGAAGATTAGTGTTTGGAGATGTTACTTAAAGAGTATAATACAGTGAAATAAATTTGGGAAGAGGAAAAAAGGGACATGAAGAATTCAGAAGATTAGAATTTGGGAGAACACAAAGAGTGTATGCACCCGCGCCATTGCGAACGATTTTGAGCCATGTCATACAGGGTCTCTAACCATCAGTTGCTATCACCTCGCGGACGCCAACCAGGTAGTCTACACCTACCAACATGACTCAGTCCACTTGTCAGTGACTTCATGGACTTGTGCCATGTTTTGGTCTGGCCGCCCCTAGCTTTCTTACAACCTACTCCTATACCACTGAACATCGCAGGTCGAGGCAGTCGGGCATACGTAACACGTGTCCCAGCCATCTCAACTGAAGTTTCAATACGTCATCAATTGATTTGCCATCCTTACCTAGTACCCGTATCCTAACAACTGCATTACTTACTCGATGGTCCCAGGATATACGAGCAATATTTCGAAGACACCTATGATCAAATACTAGTAACCTACAGATATCGAAATTACGCATTCGTGATTTAAGTGATTAAATCTTTTGACAATAAAGCCAAGGAGTAAGTACGAACAAGGTAGACAAATAACGTGAAATCTAGTACGAATGTGTATCAGTCCAAGTTGTCAAACGTCATTCAAACTTACGATCAAAGATATGAGATGTAAACAAAAAGAAAAAGTAACGAAGAGCCACATAGGCGTCGAGAGAAAAAGAAATGAGTGACTTCCAAGAATAACAACTTAGTAAGGACTCGCGTTCTCGATTTTGAGTAAAACGTCTTGTATGAGGGATATACCTAATCCTAAAACTTACCAAGAGTCGATCCTGTAGCCTAGTGATTTTAAAATCAAACTCCATTATCAATAAGCGGATACCCTACATAAGATAATGGTATTCTCAAGACTTGCAAAGAATGGATTTATCCCCGCTACTGCAAATGTTGAAGCCAATGTCATTTAATACCATTGACAATACTTTAAGATTGTTATATGAAACACATTTAAGAATCTCATGCTTTTCTACACCGTTTAGATTAATGATAAAAAAGACTCATAAACTATGGTTCCCTTCATTTATCAATCCCTATCTCAATGAATATGATAACTACAGATATGCAGTTGCGTACATTCAAAACACCTCGTTTGACGAGCCTCCTTAAATGCATAAACCTGGAAGTACACCCGAAGCAACCCATAAAGGTGAAATAAAGAACAAAAGGGGAAATTCGTTGAAAGATAAATGGGAAATAATAGGGAAATGCACCATAATGCCTGCTTTTTCGACTGTCAGGAGATAATGAGGATTTGTGGCTGAGATGAAAAAATAATCAATAAATAGATAGCATTTTCTCACAAAAGACTAAGAAACATAAACAAGTATGTAATTAGGGATACAAGTTAACATCAAGTTGCGTAGCAAGTGCTCCTTCTGACTTTCAATGTAAATGTCGGACATTAGACTTCGTCTCAGTATGGAAGTCGACAGTGTCTACTGTTTCTTCCGTACTTAGGCGGCATAATTCTTCAACAAAGTTTACCACAAACCTTGTACCTTAATTTCAAGCGTTTAGTATTATCGACTTATTTGTTAGCGCATCCAAGACTACATAACAGCGTTACGGATTCTATCGGAATTGGTTTACTGAACTTTCTTAGGGAATATGAACGGTATTAAGGGCCTGAAAACTTATAATGTGTATTTGTTGAAGCACCTTCCTGTGGATGTTCGTTCACATGGACCTTTAGATTCTTTTTCGCCTTCCCATTCGAGTCTTATATGAGACAGATTAAGAAATCAGTACATGGCGGGTATGATGCAGCCAAGCAAGCAGCTCAGCGTTACGCGTAGATATCTTTCTGTGATAGGCTTCAAGTTAGCATATTGACTATATACTATACTATACAAACAATCGTTAAGGCACACTCAGGGAAACAGGTAATTATGCTTAAGAATACAAAAATAACTTCATTTAAGCCAGATGTTATTCTAGTACACGAAAGCCTGGTATTGCAGCTGATGTAGGGGAAAATGGACTAATGACATTTAGATCACTTACAGACCCACGGGATTACTTCGAAGAACCCTTCCATTTTAGTGACAGGAATATTTATGTGCTCTGTAGTTAGTCATGAGCACACATAGGTTTCCTTTACGGATATTGACTGTAAATGTATTGCTCTTGTGTTAATAATTTAGCGACTGTTCCATTGCTACATACGTTTATGTGCTATTTTTGATTTTTGCTGATGGTATTACTTTAAACAAGTTCCTATTTAGCCGAGCAACAAGCAGTACGTAATTATAGACTCACTAAGTGGGAGGCAGGTTCTGATTGCAGCAAAACAGTGAATTGTGGGAAAAGGACTTTGTCTCTATCCTACGGTCCTTTTTAATATGCACCTATAAAACAGTGCCCAGTCAGATGACAACTGGTCAGTCATGAAGTGTAAGGTCATTCACGAATGCGGTGAGTTACAAACATAGAAACGACCATTTCCTATAGATAGTTTCCAGACCGCAAAGGAGTTGTTGGCTTCGTTCAACAAATTGGATGTTTACCGTGTCAACAGTTCTACAGACGTAAACACTGCCACTAAACAATGAGAAGCTGAAGAGGTCAGTACAGTAATCTAACATTTCGTAGAGGTGCATTGAAACTGAACGAATGGTTTCTGTACAATTTCATTGACATGGATGTGGCCGAGATGCAGGCTAGAAACATCCACATCCAATATCCTAAATTTCGGTTGCTAAACACCGTTGTCTCACCAAGTGCCAAGTATGCGTGCCTACTACATATACCTTAATAAACTAGTTCGACACAGTTGGGTAGTAACGCTCAACATACAAGTCTAGGCATGTGAGAAGTGGGTTACCAACCGAGTAAGTAAAATGCCCAACTGAGCTAAGTGCTTAAGATTTGACAGACTGTATCATGTACTGTTGTTTCAGACTTGAGTACCAACATTGTGCAGCTAATATCGAAGTCTGGTGGGCGTGAACATCCGCGGCAATTTGATTTCCGACTATTAAGTTTGCAGTCCCCTTTGTCATCCGAGGAGGAACGGAAAACGTTGGACTCATGTCTTCAGAAGCAAGACATAAGGAGCAAATTTGTACGTCAACAAAATTCATTGTAAATGGCCATATTGACTTGGTTAATAAACGATAACCCTAAAATGTCTATGCGCTATTTATTGTCATACGTCATGACACCTGAAGCTGCCAGTCATTTTACTCTACTTGACACTTCATCTAAAATAGAACTTCAGAAGTGCAGGTTTTACGAGTGCATACGAAGTAAGAACTTTGTTTTCAAAACCTTCAGGAGCATTAACAACTCGGTTCTTATTCCTATCCGTCAGTGAAAAGAACTTGCAAAACTGTATGACATCGCGACGCAAGAGTACTTTCACGATAGAGACAAAATAAGAAAGCGTAATTGAAAGCAAGAATATGTATATACTAGTTTAAACTCATAACTATTCACTGCTGTACTATAGTTGCAAAGCCCCCAAATGCCCTGGTACAGACGAGAGTGGAGGGAGTCAACTCTTTTGCGAAATGCTCTCACACGGCCACGCGTATACAGTCTCTGCCAGGGAAGTCCTATTCACTGCCTTCTCGTGACAGGGGTGTTGTTTACGAAAATGAGAGGACGAAAAGCGAATGTCCAACGCTTTAACTGGATTCCAAACCAATGGTGCACATGGGCTCCAGTATCCTGAAGGAACAAATGGCGTATGAACCAATCGTTGGTCACCGGCTTCCATGGGACTGCATCTCCTTAGAATGCTCCACTGCCTTGTGGATCAGACCTTCGAGTCGAAGGCTCGGGGTGTGGCCCCCTAAGAAAACCACCTGCTTCGGTTTGGGCACCCGGGCAGTATCACAGCCCTCACACATATCAAATGAGATTTGTGTGGCGCATATGTAATTGGTGCATCTTTGTACCATTATTTATGTGTTGAAATAAAAATGAAATAAATTCTAATGATAAACAAACTTTAAGACTCGTTTGTACAGGTTAACCCATTACATAGCATTTATCCTGATATACTCACAATAATAGCCCCAGAGTTACGATCTGGTTGAAAAGAACCTAAATTCTGAGAGAAAATATACGAATCAGTCAGACATTTAGCAAACATTAAAGATTTAGGAAGTTGGGTTGGAAAACTTTCCCTGGATTAACCAACCTGTACCAAAATCTGCAGATAAATGTGAGCAATTTTCAAAGAAAATCGAATTAAACCAGTAATATACATCTATACAAAACAATGAAATAACCGACGAACCATGTCGAGTAACGGTACAGTGGTTTCATCGAATGAAGGACGTGATTGAGCACTTGAAGGTCAAACTCGTAAAACGATTGATGCGTCACCTCGACAATTCGTAAGATTTTACAGAAGCGGTCAACTCAAGAGTTTTGAATTTGATTTGAGTTCAACCACACTGTATGTGGTAACGTCCATCCTTCAAGTAACGAAAGTGATGCCATCTTAATGATGCATGATATAGGACGAATCTTCAATGATACTATGTCATCGGGACAATTTTGAGACCTGCCAAGGTAGCTCTTTCAGCAGAAAAGAGTACATAAGGTAATATGACTTCTGTGATTGATAATTCGTTTTATAGTATACGCACACTAAGTATATCATTTCAGTATGCAGAAAGAACAAAGATAGCCCAACCGTAAGGTATATTTATCAGATATGTTTGTACTTATGGACGTAAACGCAGTACTGCGACCTACCGGTCCAACAAAGTTGGTTAAGTAACACATAATAACCTCATCTTAAAGTTTTTCCACTATTCAAGCTGACAGTTAATAATAGTCTTGGGCAAGAGCACAGCGTCATGTGTGCTCTGTGCATGAAAGAACGACGTGAAGACGTCGTCAGTTTACTCAAATACTTCAAAGAAACCATGTGTGGTACTTACGATACATGTTATGAATTCGGCAGAGACTAAGACTTCCGTGATACAGTCTACGCACAGTCATGCGGATATAATTCTGTGTTTGTTCTATGTCTACATAGCATTTTTCAGGGAGGTAAGGATTAACTGTACAAATTATTTGCTGTAGTTCAGTAATCTCGCCCGAGCTCCCGATTTCGGGGAAATTTTGACCCATTTTGGGGAAGTTTCGGGGAAGCCGCTATAGTAAACTTTGGGAAATGGCACAAAACCCCCATGGAGGCTTCCCAAAACGGGTCAAATTCTCCCCAAAATTGGGAGCTCGGTAAGTTTTCCAACACTTGGGGTTCTCAGGTCACTTCAAACTCTTAAATAAGCTCACAACTTTCGCAGCTAAAATTGCGGCAGTAAATCATGAATAAGTTAAGAGAATGAAAGACGAAGTAATTGCAGGAGAATACATCCGCTGCTACGAAAAGGGCATTTTGTATGTTGTTGATACTCCACATGGACTGTGTGCTTTTGAGAGTTTCAACGACTACATGTTGCCGTGCGGTCATGTTTTCTATGCACAAATCAAATATTTAATTCGTGGAGGTTTAATTCTTTGTCTCTAAAACCACCGCAGACATTTCTATGTAGAAGTCTTAGATAAATTTATTTACATGGGTACCGCCTTGTTCTCACGGCGTTACAGTAGGGAGAGTACACTGTGCAGTCTCGGGTTACTGTGTGGCAGTGAAACAGGGATTTCGGTTCACGTTCATGTTTAAAGTTTACCAGATTGACGTATATCTGATTGGTCGTCCAGACCGTTTACCAAGTAATGCGACCCTGAACTTGGTGTATTTAATTACAATGTGAAAGTAGGTATTACAGAAATACTTAGAAATCACACAGCAGTTATTTTCCACCATCAGTAAACTTATTTCGCTTATATTTTGTTTCGGTATACACGAGTAAGACTGTAGTTTTGACATCAATTTGCTTGATTATTGGAAAAAACGTTCACCAAAGATTTTTATCTGTGCTCTAACGTCAAAGATCAGAATCTGCGTCTATTATTTGCTCTTAGTTGTTTGCTATTCGCAATCTAACAACCCTTTCTTCATCACTTCTGCAGGTATGCTAATAGGATGAGTTTGGAAAAACATTTTTCACTCCAAAAGTCAGTAGAACTTAGACGCTTATTACATATACATATGATTATTAACATAGATAAAGGATATATACTAGCTGTTTGGTGCTAACTCATTTCTTCATCGAATGGTAAATAGAAGTGGGTGATTGCAAGTTATTCATGAAGTACTTATGTTACAACATGTATGTAACATGCTTTTCCTGACGGAGTCCCATCGCTGACAGTCCCATTACCCTGTTATGCAACAATAATGCAGTATGTATGGAATTCATCATATTGTATCGATAATTATTTGCAACAGTATGAATGTAGACTTCCTATTGTATGTGCAAACTCTGGATATAGTTTTGGATCATGTATTGTACGAACATTACACTTGCTTTCGCTTGATTAATAAACAGTTCCAACTTCACGAAACTGACAAGATTCTGCCAATGTGACGACGGACCACGGGTGAACTCGAGGAAGCTGTAGAAGGCTCAGAAGGAGCTGCAGGAAGACAACCCATAAACGACATTCTTCGAAACCCTACTCCAAGAAATAGAGATATACTGCTCTAACTAACAAAATTTTGGCATCACATAATCGATCACAAATTAACCGCCAACGAAAGTATGTAAACTTAGATATAAATAAAAAGCGCGCACGCCTGCAGCTTGACACTGTTTCCGACATCACACTTATTATTCGAAGAACCTAGAATCTTATCGGAAAACCACAGGTGCTCCCAACAATCCAGTTAGTTCATAGTGCATCTGAAGGAAAATTAAATATTTTTGGAGAGGTTTGTTGTACAGTTTCAAAAGGAAACGCGAGGACGGATGCAACGCTATATCTCGCAGAGAACCCAGCACTAGATTTGCTGGGTCTAGACCTGATAGAAACACTACAATTAGCAAATCACTCCATTAACCACATATGCAGCGCCACGAGAACCAATAAACCAGTGGAAAAGGATCTGAAGGGTGTTGTGTTGGAAAGACATAGTCAAGTGTTTACGGAAGAGCTGGGGGAGTGCAAAAAGGAAAAAGTACTACTGATTCTTAAACCGAGAGTCACCCCCGTCTTCAGACCAAAACGTCCGGTACCCTATGCAGCGTTGCCTATCGTTGAACAAGAATTAGAGCGTCTGCAAAGAAGTGGAATAATAAAGCCAGTAAACTTTTCTGATTGGGCAGTACCAATAGTGATTGTCAAAAAGCCGAATGGAAGTATCCCGTTATGTGCAGATTATTCGACTGGATTAAATGAAGCACTTGAAACCCATCAATACCCATTACCAGTAACAATGGATTTATTTGCGAAACTGAATGGGGTAAGTATTTTGCGAAATTAGACCTATCAGACGCTTATCTACAGATTCCGGTAGCGGATGAGTGTAAGCATTACTTGACAATGAACACTCACAAGGGATTGTTCCGGTATAACAGACTTCCTTGGCGAGACTCTAATTTAGCGACGAGCCAATCAGAAGCGTTTGAGCAATTTCAAGGTCACGGAGCCAAGTTCAACACGCGATGCTAACATGCGGTCGGTTCACAGCGGATTTTAGGGAGGAGGTGATTAATGAGAAGTTAAAACAGATGGGACGGCGAGACTCTAATTTAGGGACGAGCCAATGAGAAGCGTTTGAGCAATTTCAATTATTAGCCAATCAGAAGACAGTATAAAGTAAAAATATATTGCAAGAAAGTAATGAATTACAGTGGATATTCTTTTTTTACATGATTTAAAAACTTTTTGAGGTTTGATAAAGGCTCAGAAGTTCTGAATTCATAATGCATATTATATAGAAACTCGTCCATAGGGTTAGCGTTTGGGCTTAAGGTTAGGGTTAAGGGTTAGGTTAAGGTTAGGGTTAGGGTTAGATTAGGGTTAGGGTTAGATTAGGGTTTAGGGTTAGATTAGGGTTTAGGGTTAGGTTAAGGTTAGGGTTAGATTAGGGTTTAGGGTTAAGTGTTAAGTTAAGGTTTGGGTTAGGTTTAGATTAGGGTTAAGTTAAGTTTAGGGTTAGGGTGCTAACATGCGATCGGTTTACATCAGATTTTAGAGAAGAGGTTTCTATTGACAGGCTACAACCCTAACCACTAACCCTATAGACGAGTTTCTATACAATATGCATTATGAATTCAGAGCCTCTGAACCTTCATCAAACCTTAACAAGTTTTTAAACCATGTAAAAGAAGAATATCCACAGTAATTCATTGCTTACTTACAATATATTCTCACTTTATACTAACTGTCTTCTGATTAGCTAATAATTGTCAAGGCCATTTAAGATTCGTTCAAAGTTCGTCGCTAAATTAGAGTCTCGCCACTTCCTTTTGGAGTAAAGACCGCTCCTTCAATCTTCCAACAAGTTATGGATACTATCTTACAGGACATTCCTGGTACCGCGGCCTATCTCGATGATATATTGATCATGGGTACAGACTATGCTGATTTAGAGAATAAGGTGGATAGGGTTCTCAGACGCATAGCAGACTATGGGTTCAGAATGCGTGCCGAAAAATGTGATTTTTTCATGGAGCAAGTCCGCTACTTGGGATTTATAATCGATAAAAACGGAAGAAAACCCTGAAAACATCGAAGCTATCAACTCCATGCCCCTACCGACGGATGAATCAACTTTACCTTCTTTCTGGGGAATGGTTAGTCATTATGGCGTTTTTCTTCCAGATCTGCATCGCCTTCGTGTTCCTCTTAATTGCTTACTGAAAAACGATACCAAATGTTTCTGGTCAACTGAATGCCAGGAAGCATTCCTAAAACCAAAGCAGCTCCTATCATCAAACCTTCTACCTACACACTATGATCCAGATCTTCCAATAATAGTCGCAGCAGATGCGCCAAACTACGGAATCGGAGCAGTAATTTCACATACCTACCCTGACGGGTCTGTGAAGGCGATCGCCCACGCTGCAAGATCGCCGACTATGACTGAAAGGAACTACAGTCAAATAGGGAAAGAAGCCCTCTCCATTATATTTGCCGTAAAAAGTTCCACACGATGTTGTTTGGCAGACAGTTCACCTCACTAACAGACCATAAACCGCTACTGACAGTTTTTGGATCCAAAAAGGTATCCCTGTATATACAGCAAACCGTCTACAGCGATGGGCAACTACACTGCTGGGCTATGATTTCAAGATAAAGTACTAACCGAAAACGGATCTTGGACAGGCAGATACCCCCTCTAGATTTGTTGGTTCGCATGCAAAACAAGTAGAGGAGGTGCTTGTGGCTGCCATAAATGTTAAGGCTTAGGTTCACAAAGTATTGTCAGACGCCTTCATCTAGACTAAATGGAGAGCTCTTCGATATTTT